TTTGACTTTGACCCTGCCTAGCGAGAGATGATGGCTGAAATGTGATTGGTTAAATGCTTTTATATGAAAATGCATCTCTGTAATCAGCACAACCAGGGAAAAAGCTATGAAAGGAAGCGGTCAGACTATATTTAATAAGTTTATATGGAAAAAATATGATTAACATCAGTCTGTGATTCAGATATTTTCTTAGGCCTGCAGAGAAGGCCTTGCAGGCCCTGACGGCCCACCACTGCAATTAACAATACATTGATTTGGCCACTTGCTTCTCTAACTTTGTAAAACAGTGAACTCAGGGAAGGCATTAAGAGAACCATATTTAAATAATTGCATGTAACGATGTGTATAAAAGGACATTTTAACAGAGGAAAAAATACCAAATTTGATATGAAACTTAGTATAGTTTTAGAGATGTTTTTATTTGAAAAATGAACAGAAGGTGGATGCAAGTCAACTGACCATTTACATTTTGTCGACCATTTTGGTCGGCCCAGTAGAAACCTCTTTTGATCTATGTAGGCTGCAGAGAGTCTATTTAGCCATGGACACTGGAGCCACTCCTCTCGGCTGAGTCTCCAAAAGAAACATTCTGGAAAGAATGTTCTAGAACGTCATGGCTGCTCCAGATTCCGATGGAATTTTTATACTGGAGGTTGTTCTATATTTATCAAACTACCTATCTGGTCTTTTGAATTTGAAAGTTTATTTTTCTCCCTTCCAGGAGTAAGAACTCCACTTCAAGAATACTAAGAAACAATTGTGGTTGTTTAGATTTCACAGTGGAGATGTTGCTGTGTTTTCAATTCAATCGGATTCAATTCGATTCAATTAAATTCAATTCAATTCAATTCAATTCAATTCAATTCAATTCAATTCAATTGTATTTTTACAGCCACATCACAACAACAGTTATCTCACAGCGCTTTCCAAACAGAGCAGGTCAGACCCTACTCTGAAGTTAATTACAGAAGCCCAACAATTCCCACCAAGAGCAAGCACTAGGCGACACAGGCGAGGAAAAACTTCCTTTTAACAGGCAGAAACCTCGAGCAGAACCATGGCTCAGGGTGGGCGGCCATCTGCCTCGGCCGGTTGGGGGTGAGAGAAAGAGAGGGCAAGAGAAAGGCAGCCTACACAGTAACATGTAGACTGGATGAAAAATGACAACGGTGATGCTAGCAGTGAAAATGCCAGCAGTAATGATAACAATAAGACTAGCAATAAGCAATAAGATAGCAATAAGTTTCCCAGCTCATATCCAAAGAGTAGAGATTCCAGAAGAGGTCAGACTTGCTCTGCTCCTGCTGGGTCACTTAAAAAGTTGGAGAAAGCGTTTCTTGAGGGATTTCCTCTTTGGTTTCATTTCTGACATGTTCTTCATCAGTAGTTCCACATCTTGAATTTTCTCCATTAGTCTTTCTGTGCCTTGCTTCCTCTCCTCTTCTTTTTGCGCAATGGTCTCATTCATAGTTGACAAAGAGTTGTGGAGGCAGGACTTCTCTTCCTGCCACTGCTGCCTCTCTTTTTCCAGAATGTTCTGTGTCTCAGTCACAGCTTCTTTCATGGCGGTCGCTGCTTTGCTCTGTTCCTCCAGAAGACTGGTCTTCTGCTGCTCCCACTGATGTTTCTCTTCCTCAAAATCCTTTTGAATTTGAATCAGAGTGGCCATTATTTTGGAGTTTTCCTCCTTTTCCTGATCCAAGCTTCTCTGAGCTTCCACTGCTCGACGCTTCTTGGCTTCTAGAGCGGTTTCCAGGTGGTGGATTTTCTCAGTGACGCCCTTGTGTAGCTTTTCCTTATTTTGTAGTTCTTGGCGGAGGAGATACATTTCTTTTTCTTTTTCAGCTTTCAGATCTTTCAGATTATTCTTCAGCTGCTCCACCTCTTTTTTCAGAGCGGTGTGTTCGGCAATGACTTCACTTTGCTGGTTTTTCAGCTCACACTGTGTTTTTACTAGCTCGGCTTTTGTTTTTGTGTTTTCGGCCAGTAACTGAGCCATAGAGCTCTCCTTTTCCTGATGGACGCTGGTCTGAGCTTCCACTGCTCGACGCTTCTCGGCTTCCAGAGCAGTTTCCAGGTGGTGGATTTTCTCTGTGGCGTCGTTGTGTAGCTTTTCCTTCTTTTCTACTTCTCGGCGGAGGTATGATATTCCCTTTTCTTTTAGAACTTTCTGATGGTCTAATTTGCTCTGCAGCATCTCCACCTCAGTTTTCAGAGCGGTTTTTTCGTTGATGACGTCCCACTGCGTGCTTTTGAGCTCACTCTGTAATTTTGTTAGTTGGACCTTGAATTTGGTGTTTTCAGCCACTAACTGAGCCATGGAAAACTCCTTCTCTTTTTGGAAGCTTCTCTGTGCTTCCACTGCTCGACACTTCTGAGCTTCCAGAGCGGTTTCCAGGTGTTGGATTTTTTCGGTGTGTAGCTTTTCCTTATTTTGTAGTTCTAGGTGGAGGGAGGCCGTTACCTTTTCTTTTTCAGCTTTCAGATCTTTCAGATTGTTTTTCAGCTGCTCCACCTCTTTTTTCAGAGCGGTGTGTTCGGGGATGACGTCACTTTGCTGGTTTGTCAGCTCACTCTGTGTTTTTACTTGCTCAGCCTTTGTTTGAGTGTTTTTGGCCACTAACTGAGTCACGGAGCTCTCCTTTTCCTGATGGAAGCTTCTCTGAGCTTCCACTGCCCGAGGCTTCTCAGCTTTCAGAGCAGTTTCCAGGTGGTGGATTTTGTCGGTGGCACCCTTGTATAGCTTTTCTTTCTTTTGTAATTCTTGGCGGAGGAGAGATATTTCCTTGTCTTTTACAGCCTTCTGATGGTTTAACCTGCTGTACAGCTGATCCACCTCATTACTCAGGGCGGTGTGTTCATCGAGGACGTCCCACTGCCTGCTTTTGAGCTCACCCTGTAATTGTGTCAGTTTGTCCTTCATTTTGGTGTTTTCTGCCTCTAACTGATCTACAGAGCTCTGCGCTTCATTTGCCTTCATCCTCACATTCTTGACCTCCTCTTGCAGCTGGCTTTCCTTTTGGGAGGCGTTGTGTAGCAGGGCATTAAGCCTGCTGATTTCCTCAGTTCCAGCCTGGAAGTCCGGTGTGGCTGTCTGACTGGAGCTCTCTGAAGGCGCTGTTTTTTGTTTCAATCTCGTCTCAATGTCGTTCATATTCACACCAAAAGTAAATGTGACGGGCTCCTTGGGTTTTTTGGATTTCTTTTTCTTTTCTTTCTCCATGTTGGTCTTCCTGGGTTGGTCAGGCTGTTCCTTTTGCAGAGAGGGAAAGTTTTCTTCATCCATGACCATGGTGAAAGAAAATTCACAAGAGTGATTTTGGGCTTCTTCAACAGAAGCACTCGGGGTGACTTTTTCAGGTTGTCTCCTGGATACGTTAGCGGTTTTTCTTGTAGATTCCATTGTGTAAGGATAGATTTTTTCAATGATATCTCAGAGTGGATCTGAAATTGATGCGTGATAACAGGTGATAACAGGTGTGTTCGCTCTCTGGTGAGTTCGATCTCTGTGTAGTGCACAGTGGTTGGGTTCTTAATTCTGGGTTCTTAATTCTATGGTCTATGATGTCATGAATATAATGTATGATGTCAAAGGAGAGACTCCGCCCCCATCGTAAAAATGTTTTCCATGATGTCACACAACTGAAGTTGCCTAGCAACGCACCCAAGCTTAGTTGTTCTGTTACCAGAATTCTTTAAGACTTCAGGGGCTTTGATGCATTCTCACTTTTGTGATCCTCTTCCAGCATTTTTTTATTCCATACATTTTTCTGCACTTTAACTTAACTCATTCATTTTGAATGAGTAAGGTGTCAAACTTTGTTTTGTTTTTTACACAGAAGCTGTCTTTTAAACCTGTAACTCACTTAAGTTTTTCGTTATTTATTTGTTGCTCTCATTGAAATGAATGGAGAAACCTTCAAATAGCTGACCTCTTTCAGCTCCAACTATTTCAGCATACTTCCAGCTACTTCAGCTCTTGGTGCCCCCCTACTTTGTGTCATTGTGTATAAAAGCGTCTGCTAAATGCATAAACCTAAACTAGAAGTTTCCAAATTTCGACAAAAAAGGATCAGAAGAATACTTACCTTAAAACAAAACTTCTCTTTGAGGTCTAATATTAACTTAAATTCTTTCTTTCTTTCTTTGTTTTTTTTAGTCTGACTGATGACATACCTTTACTGCATACCTCAGAGCATAAAGCCTTTAACCTTCCAAAATGTCCATGCAAAGGCAAAATAAATCTCCAAAATGAATTTAGCCAACACAATTTTGCAGTTGTTTTATGTAATTGAAGAACTCTTGGTCAAGTGATTTTCGAAGTCTCACATCCAAGTTTTAATTTCATATGATATTAAATGACTATTATAATCATATGTAAGCAGTTTGACATGGCAACACTAAATGTTCATTTTGAATAAAATGCAATAAGAAAATACATAGATCAATGTACAAATAATGCCTATCTTTCTGTCGCATAATCATAAACTGCATGCCATTTTGCAACACAGCAATACGGCACAGAGCTCATTTATTGACATTTTTCTAAATCTATTCACCTTATAATGCCTTCTAGAAGGCGCCGGTGTCACCAACTTAAAATCTGATTGGTTAAAGCAACAGTGTACTCGACATGTATTTTCTGTTGGGGGGGGGGGGGGCTGCATAACAGATTGTGAAGGCCTCCAGCCAGACATCTTTGACTTTGACCCTGCCTAGCGACAAATGATTGCTAAAATGTGATTGGTTAAATGCTTTTATATGAAAATACATGTCTGGAATCAGCACAACCAGGGAAAAAGCTATGAAAGGAAGCGGGCAGACTATTTAGAGATATTTAATAAGTTTCCATGGACAAAATATGATTAACATCAGTCTGTGATTCAGATATTTTCTTAGGCCTGCAGAGAAGGCCTTGCAGGCTCTGACGGCCCACCACTGATAGATAGATATATATATATATATATATATATAAAAATTAGTAGACTATGTAGAACAAAAGGAATACAGCGACCACTCAGTGACCACTCAGTGACCAGGTTGAGCCTTTTTATTTTGCAGAAGAAAAAATACAGGCATGTCTCAAAACTATATAATTTAACAGCAGAACATTCTGTATTTGCATTACATACTAAAATATATTTAAATAAAATGGTTGTAATTAATGCAAATTTGGTCAGATCAAGAGGAAGGAAAAACATTGGAATGACCTTGTGACTTATATTTTTAAAACAAATATCAGCACAAGACTCAATACACAATGAGTCTGCATTTCAAAAAAGCTTGATTAACTGTTGCATCCGACAGAGAGGAATCAAGATCCCAACAAGAATTTTTTTTTTAATTCCTTCCAGTGGCAATGACATTCAAACTGTGGTAAAAAATACTGGCTGTTTCCAGTTAGCCGTATCGAAACTTTGTAGCAAGCACAAAAAAATGGTTAGGTTGTGAAAGAGAAACATACAGGTTGAAAAGGAAGACGTCCAGTTAGGACAGAAAAAAAAGCAATATCCCTTAAAAACCAAGAAAGGCACCCGTGTTGTTTCCGTCACACCGGAAAGTTGGAATCTGACTTTTTTTTATTTCTGAATTTCTCAAAGAATTCCAGCCATTATAAAACGAGTCAAAAGAGGTACAAAAGGATATTATTTGTGATAATTACAGTGCAGAATTCCATATGTTTCTCCTCACGTCGGAATTAGTTCATTTGTTTTTTTCCTCCCCAAGATCTAAAACAAGTTGAGATTACTAGTCTGTGCATGTTTTACAAAGGCAGAATGTTCAAAGGTCAAATTTAATGCAATTTTTAATCAAGGAGCTAAAGGGACATTCTCGAAAAGTGGTGATTGTGGTACATATTTTCTTTTTCTGTTCACTTTACTTGCTTTTGATTGAAGGTGCTGGATAAGTGCTATGTAGAAAGATCCTTTTATTTTAATGAAAAATCCCAAAGATCTGTCTCCAGAACTTCCCAGTTCTAGAGACGGGACAGCTGACTTGAACCGTGCTATACACCAGCTTTTTGTTCACAGAAAACACAAACGGGCCAATAACAAACATACAATTATCACTATTACACACACTGTATTATCCAGCAAGAATATCACATATTTTCTTTGACTGAAGGAAATATGAGAGATTAAGCAAAACCGAAGCCATCGCAGCAATTTACACATCAATCCATCAGACTCTTGAAAACAGAGCCTACTTGGTCATATCTACATCAACATTACTCATCACCTGTTGATCCTGTACAGTATTTACACATGTGCAAGGAAATTTAATACAATAAACCGAAAGGAAGGAATCTCCTAATATCCCAGATCAAGCATGTGTTTGGCAAATATTCCAAAACTAACAGGAATCCAAGTGCCTACCTCCTTCTTCTCCCATTATGTTAATAAGGGTAGAAAGAAGAATGTTTGTCAGAAGTGACTACCCATCATCCTTGTGCATAGAGCTCGGAGGGTGTGAGTGACCTACTTTGAGTCCAAACTTTGCTGCTAGCATACGTCATTTCTACGGCCGAAACAGCATCATCGGAATCAGCAAGAGATGTCCTGCAGTGAAAACAGGCGTCAGAATACTGATTTTGCGGTATTACTATTCACAGCAAAAGCAAAGTGCAAGGGGTTCAAGAAATGTTGTGCATCTCACCCACAACTTCACACAAATTCTGTACTTGATCGCAATATCAGAGGTCAAAACAAAATGTAAAAACACATCTCACTTGCATCATTACAGGGCATCTCTTACAGTATGTCACAATTTAGATGGGCAAAAAAAACGTTGAGCGAAATGTAATTTTCCACCAAAGCTTAAGAACAGCAAAGGAGCCAAGATTATTTGGATTTTATGGATACTTGTTTTTAAAAAATTGTTAAAAAATACACAGTGAGAGGAAAATAGGGTCCCTCTGCCAAGTTCTGCAACAACTTAATAGGCTTAGAATTAGCTTGTCACAAGCATGACCAATTGGATTACTGAAAAAATTCAGAGACAATGGAAATGAGGAACAGTGACACAGTAAGACAAAATCAAGTTAAACACAACGGTATTATGTGTCAAAGAAAGCAAACACAAACAAAAAAGCTGAGATTCTCTAGCTCAAGGGGGATGGCATGTGCTAATGTCTTCCCTGAAGGTAAGAGGTGTCGCATGCATAAGTAAGACCACTGACTGACATTGTGCTCAGCCTTGTAAACAAATACAAACACTTATCACACCCAATTCAGCCTCACAAAATTCCACCACAATATGCAGTAGATAATTAGGAGGAATACTAAAACCAAAAAAAAAAAAAAAAGATAAAAGTGCTTTCATTTAATTTATCACTCCCTGGTACAAGTTTGGGTTTGAAAATTATGAGTGTGCAGTTCAATTTGGGGCCTTCTCTTTAAAAAAAAAAAGAACATTGACAAGTTGTCATAGTTTTAGACAGGTCAATTTCATGAGTTTTGATAACACTGTGAAAAACAAACCCACGTCAGGACTAGTGACAAGCAGGAAAAGGACAACTTTAATTAATACAATTCAGTCAGATCATGAGTTTTGCCAATCAATCAGGGCTTTCTGGGATCCATTGACTTATTTTTAACAACCCTAAAAGCACTGTAGGATATAACTAATGACAGTTTACTTCCTCAAATGGTAAGACTGCAAAAGAAAACTGAGCAGCTGCAGATGAGCTGTGGGTAGAAGGGGGACCAAAGTGCATATTCACAGATCCAACAAAAATGTAGGAATGCCTTTTAATGCATGAAGGGATGCTCAAATAAATTAAAAAAATAAATGAGTTATTTTCCCCATTCACCTAATCAAAACCTGAACAGTGAATACGAACTAAAGCTGCAATCCACCTTTGAGCTGCTGGATATAAAATGAGTTTGTAATTCGGAATCGACAACCGTTTGTATCTTTACCGTTTTGAAATAAATATCAAAACTCAGTTCATAAGCAGGTACACATTACAGGTCTTAAACAATCAATCAAAACAAGAAACTCCATAAACAAGGGACAGAACTTGGACAGAGGAAGGTGAAGGCAGTTTGGGGTAAGCAGTCAAATGATGTTGTTCATTAGTTGTGTGACAAAACTTTAATTTAATCTTTAAAGCAACTCCATGGACATGAGTGAAAATTAACACAAGGCCCCAAAAACTGCCCTGTAGTGCTCAAACACAACAGTTAACAAGTATGGTTCCAGCCCAAAAATGTCAAGTTTCACTGTAAAGAATAATGAAACTACATAGCAACATATTCATGAGATTCATTTCAAAACCCAAAACAGGTGAAGACACAAAGTTAGAAGTCAACGCTTCTAAAGAAAACCCAATTAACAAAGGCCTAAATTAATAAATGGATTCGGTGTTTACTGCTGGAACAGTGTTATGAAGGATCATGGGTCAGCTCAGGTGTTCTGCACTGAATTGCTTCATTTTTTACTGGGCTCGTAGGGCAATTTGTCATGGGCATGAAAATATTGCGATATTCTCCCTGTTCTGAGGAAGCTGTCATTCAGAAGGGTGGAGCTTTGTTTGATTCCAATAAAGATAACCGAAACATTTGTTATATAGTTTGGATATCTTTTTTTTGTGTAAAAATGTCAGTTCCTCTAAATAATTCAGATATTCAAAATCGTTTTCAAAGGTTTAATGCCAATTAGGTCTTAAGCCAATTTCACTTAAACATAACATTGACATAATTATCAAATGCCCATGTATTTAAAAGAATTTTCATTTAGTATGTCTTTTGTATCTATATATACAGTTCATCACCAATTTTTCCATTTGAAAGAAAATTAAGTTTAATTCTATTAAAACCTAGAACTTCACCTTTCAATGTTGCTTGTACATTTTTAATCATTTTAACAGTGTCCAATGTCTTCTGTGGCCTCAGATGACATCTAAATAACGTGCGTATGAGTGTAAAGTAAAATATTAAGTTCATTCCATTTATTTCTAAGTGCCAGCCAAAAGGAATTTATTTCAAATATGAACATAAAATCAGCCATCAGTAACAAAGATTTTATCCTTCAAAATGTTCTCTGAATTCCAAGAGGTCAAAATGACCTCACTTTCTCTGAAATTAAATCAATTCAACTTGAAATTAACTGTAATCATGTCTTTGGCAGGTTTTCTTACAGAACCAAACATCTGATTGGAACTTTGTGAGTCTTAAACACAGACATATATGAAAAGTAACAAAGTTGATAGCAATGAGAAATTGTTTGGAAGTTCATCTGCAACACAATAAATCAACTTATAACTGAACGGTCCAGTGCCAAGCTAGCAGCTTTTTAACCTGTTAGAGGGGCTTTGATGAGCACAATGCTATATCAGCACAAGAGAACTATAACCACTTGCAATAAAAATCAAATGATCCTTTGATAATCCCAGCCTCATCAGGTGTGTGAAGTGCTTCACTGTTAAGTGTTTCTGTGTTTAAGGCAGCACATAAGTAAAAGTTGCAAATCTTGACCTTCACACACTGTGGTCAGCTGGTTAGGTCTGGATCTGGGACTTGTTGACATATTCTTGGAAGTTTGAGACAGGAAGTCAGGAAAAAGAAAGTAAGAAAAGAGAAAAAAACACAAACCACAAGTACCTGCTGGATGCACACAAATATTCTCCACCGACCAAACCTACAAAACACCTGGCAGAGGAAAAAAAAAGATCTTTGCGTACCAAAGTTCAGCATTTATTACCTTCTAAAACCACAAAACCAAATCTGTGATCAACAGTGAACATTTGTCTACAAATACCATCATGCTAAATATTTTGAATGTTTTGATTACCTGAGCATTTGGGGCAGAACTGCATTTGATGCCAAAATGCACTCAGCTTTTGATGTGAATATTAATGCTGGTGGTTAAGACCAGGCTGCATGAGTTTTTCAGTAAATTCTGTAAAACCAGAAATGGCTTCTAAGCACATTCCACATATTGAGGTGACTGGGTTTTCATTTCGGCCCTTTGGATAAAGGTATGCTGCAAATACAAAACAAAACAAAAAATCACAGGACGATGTCTCATATTGCATTTTGGAACAATTAGCACCGAGTTTATGATGGTATGTGGAGACAAATTGTTGCTTTGACTTTGAATGAAGGACTTCTGGGTATATTTATTTCTTCCATTGCGCTCAAGTGATTGTGTGAGGGGGAAGCGCTAGCTGTGACGTGAATGGCCTGAGACTAAGCTGCAGAATGGAGCAGCAGCAGCAGCTGTGGGTGTCACACCTCGATCCTTTCATATAAAGACAGCTAGAAGAAGACCACATGTGCTTAGACAGTGAATGAAGTTTACACAATACAACCAATGTCTGTTTGATTTATTCCTCCCTAGTTACGGACAGTCTCCATTACATGAAGATCTGGGTTGTCGGTAGCTGATGAGATGTGGACATGTGCTTGATGGGAGTTCATGGTGCCGTTCGTCCATCCATCACGTGTCCCAATCCAACTCTCTACACGCAATACGGACAAGTCTCAGCTCCAGTTCAAAGGCGTCGGGCCGCTCTTGAGGGTTGGCTGACAGCATCTCCCTGATCAGCTGTTTCATGTGGCTGTTCATGCTCTTTTTTCTGGCAGGGATCAGCAGCTCCATCTTTGGGTTCTCCAACAGGGCCTCCCCTAGAGGTACAATCTCTGAGCCCTGCTGCACATAGCTCCCCAGGAGCTCCTTCTGAGTTTCCACATCCACAAAGGTGATGCGCTCCACCATGGCCCAGATGATCACTCCCAGGGCGAAGATGTCTGCCTTGGCTGTGTAGTGGCCCTCCCAGACTTCTGGGGCCATGTAGAAATCTGTACCACAAGCTGTGGACAGGAAGCACTTGTTGACACTGGCCGGTTCCTCTGGGTTGAGCCCGGAGGTGGAACAGACTTTGCTAAGCCCAAAGTCGGCCACTTTGAGGGTGGGTTCGGATGAGCCGGCGGGAGTGCAGGCCTGCGAGATGAGGATATTGTCTGGTTTGAGGTCGCGGTGTATGATCTGGTTCCGGTGCAGGAAGGCCAAGGCGCTGCCCAGCTGCAGCATGAAGCTGGTGTTGGTCTTGCGGCTGGGCTTACGGGACAGTAAGTAAGCGTTCATGTCGCCCCCGTCACAAAAGTCCATGACGAACCATAAGTAGTAGGCACAACAGGGGTCAAAGGTGATCTCACCCTTCAGTGACGTTTCCACCAGCTACAGAACAAACACAAAGGGGGAAAAAATGCAAATATGTTAAAAAGAGAAGTAAAGACACATGCACACACTCCCACCATTAAACTGTCACATTGTCAAACTAAGCAAAAAAAGTTTATCATTGATCCCTGCAACTGGATGCATGTTAATATGTGGAAAATCTCATTTCAGCGAGAGTTTCCATTTTGAAAGTTTCAGAAATTATCTTCATTAATTCTAGTCACTCATTTAAAATTCTAAGTTATATTAATAATCTTAAAGAGCTATTTTTCGTTCACAATCTATGACAAGATATAAAGTGCCACTATTGAAAATTTGCTTTTATTATTTACATGTGGCTGAATGTTAATATGTTGCTTTCTTTTTCAATTGACTTATCTATTCAGAAATGTATTGTATTGTTTACCTGTTTCATGGCAATACAAACTATTACAATTTATTCTAACCACAACTATTTATTTTTCTTTAAAATTATCATAATCAAAAAGTAGATTCCATCTTTAAAGGCTAACCTTGCTTGTATGCTAAAGCCTGGCATTTCACTTGGCTCTATGTGGAATTTGAAGTCCATACCTACATCAATTGGTAACTCTTAGTTATCAAATATATTACAAATCAATTATTTAGCAAGTTACTCATACTACTTGTACTGTGTTGGATGACATGTAGGGAAGCAGTTTATGGTTTATTCAATAATTAGAAAATGTGACAAATATTGATGTACATAGCAAACTCCATGCAGGAAACAGCCAATCAAAGAGCTTTCTCCGCACTTGTGCTTGATGGTCATGTAAATAACGCTATTCCAAGGTCGATTAACTAAGCACAAACTTAACACAGTGAGCAGACGTGAAACAGCGTGCAAGGAAGAAAAGGCATTGTTAGATTTAGAGGAAATGATATCGATGTCTGTCTTTAGAGAGAGAAAGCTGAATTTTGTGTACTTTTTTTTTCTTTGCACAGATCAAATTTAGTTTCTGCTGGGAATGTCCCCATTTCAGCCTGTACATAAACTGCTAGTCAAAACAAATGCCTTGAATATGTGTAGCAGGTTATACCCTCTAAAAACCCTGTACCAACAAATGCCTGCAAATTGTATTACTGCCAGCCGCCAAGGGATCCACAACACCTCTATGATTTGCTTCTCTGAAAGAGCACACTGGAACATCACAGGGCAGTCCAACAAAAAGAGAAAAAAAAAGGGGGAATAAAAGTATCCTTCAAAAGGGTCCATTGCTGGCATTGCAGAAAACTGAATGAGGAGTGCCACAATGGGCCCGCGAGTTGTTTAAAGCTGCCATCACGCGCTGGGGAGCTACTGCAACGTGACAGGCTGCAGACAGGTTGACTGGAAAGAGGGGCCCTCCAACCTCCATCCTCATACCCAATCTGACATTAATTCTTTGGACACACAGTTGCAATCAGGGACCCCTAAACACATGCACGCATGAAAAATCAACCAATGTCTGAACTTTTTTCAAACAAATCATAAACACAATACTTGACTGTGACTGATCACTGATGATTAACTAATGAGTGGAGGGAGAGCATAGAAAAGGAAAACGTATTAACTTTATGTAGTAATGAGGGTGTCAGACATATTGTACAATATTGGCTAAAGGTTGGCAGCTGATTTAAGGAATACATCTCCCAATATTTACCTGAAACAAGACAAACTAGTGAATAAGTATAAAAAGAAGTACTTAAAATACAAGGGTAAAAATATAAACAGAAGTAAAACATTTTTTTAAAAACTATAAATAAACAGTTAAATAACCAAAGGTGGGGCGGCAGGTGGTGTGGTGGTTAGCACTGTCGCCTCCCAGCAAGAGGGTTCTGG